GTGATGACAGCTCCTCACCTAGGCGGAACCACGTCAACCGAAATAAAATGAGTGCGAATGGTTCCTTCGTTATCTTATATGTTCGCCACCCGATGCTCCACCGTCTCTGTCAAATAAATGTGTTTTTTCCTTTCCTAAAAATGTGTATCCATGCCCAAGTCCTGCTTTTAAAACTCGAAACGTTTTGATATATCCTTGCTACCCAGTATATATTCTTAATCCAATATTCCCAATTGATTCTTAAGTTGTTCGGTTAATATATGTGGTCGCTGTCTTTTAGCCATAACCATTTTCCGATGCAGATGACCGTGTAGTATATCATCTTGATAATTCCACTTTGTTATTGTCACCAAGACACAAGTCGAGTTTTGCTCTGAGTTTCTGCCCGCGTATTGAATCTAAACACGTATATACCGGCTTTTGGCTAGGCTTGTCAATGTTGGAACCGAGGACAATAAACTAACGGACCACCAAAAAGAATCTTTTTGGAGCAACATCAACGATTTTCATTTGAAGGCAAGTAGCCGAAAGGCCATTGCATTTCCATATACGTGCTCCCATGATTTTCTTTGAACAAATAAAACTATTCATTATTTTAACCTGCATGATGAGTTATTGTTAGCGAAAAAGATTAACAGCTATTGAGGGGCTGTTTTCTTTTCACATAGTTTATTTAACTGCGTCGTTCCTATTAATCGAATAATCATTTATTGTTTTTATACGGTAATTTGTTATACCATCTTTCAAAAGCCATGTGCTTTGGTCATTTGGTTGATTATTAAAGCAATTGGTGTGAAGCGAACATCACGCCGACGGAAAAAAAGTTATTGACGTTAGGTACAAACAACTTGAGTCAGAATAATTTAATTTTGTATCTTTTGGTATCACGTCAATCTCTGTAACAGGAGACCTGTCTTTAAATAGAATATTAACGTTTGTTTTTGAACAGTATTTTACTATGCTAAGGTACTTTTTTACGTTGGTCAACCAGATAGATGCCAGTAAAGAACATTTGTAACTGCCTAAAATCAGTTTAAAAACAAAACTGATGATGTTATCACTTAATTGGCCTTAAACTGTAATGCAGTCCTACAAATTGACCATCTGTGGTGTTGCGTATGCAACAGCGCATGGCTGTCACGACCGGTAATACACCTTGAGAACACATTCAGTAAAATAATTGTTGACCACATTTCTCTTCTTCTATCTTTGATCTGAACACCATTCTCATACAATGCCGCAAAATTATGCTAGTACATTAATAAAGCACGCCTGGCGATTATTACGGCTTTAAAGCCGTAAACGGGCAAATTTGTCCGTTTCCATTCGTCATTGCCTGCTGTGGTCCACAACACAAATGCTCCCCGTCAGTTTATCAGGTCAGTTCACCCGTTAAAAGATGAGTGTTTTTAGTGCAAATAAATGGAAACCGACATTACATTTTATTGCGCACTTTCTTGCAATTCGGACTACATAATGTCCGAAGTTTTGATTTTTGTTAGCTGAGCGGGGCGTAGTTACAATTGCAATAGACCCCTCACGAATATAGGAGACTTGACTGCTAAGTACTTTACTGTAGTGCAATTGCATTAAGTTATACTCATACGCAACGCTTAATTTTCTACGAGATATGGATTCCCGACTACATTGGTTAGCTTCGGAGATGCATGCTGCGAAAATAGCTTCGACGCTCATAAAAACGACTAAAGTCGCTGTGAATCAGTGTGTGCACTGAAAGGTAGGTTAATAGAATGACGAAATAGACTCATAAAATTAATGAGGAAAAGAGGCAGGCCTTGTGCACGGCCGGGCATGTTAACTCAGTTTCTTCCTCCGTTATCCGTGAAAGAAATATGTAGTGATCAGAATCTAGCATTGTTGCTAAGTCAACAAAGAAGACGGGCGTCAGCTTTTATTATCAGTAAAAGCAACTCATTATCTGCCTTAAAGTAAATTCTCCACTTGTTGGCGTGCACCCTAGAATCCCGTTTGGTTACGTCTCGTTCTCACATTCGGTGCATTAAAACCGCCTGCTAAACACTATAGTTAGTATCTTGCTAAAATTTCGATAAAATTTATGACGCGGTGGTCTGATCTTCGCTATTCTTCCTATTTTCTATACAGGCAAGTCGACATTATAGCTATACTACAGTCATCAGGCACGATTCCTTCTCTCCATTCCCATTTACTCACCTTATGGTGCTATGTATCCGAAGCGAAGTCTCCATCGCCATGAATGTGTCGTCGTGTATGCCGTGCATGCATCCAGTCAGTCCTTCTCTATAATTGTGAATGCTGGACTGTACGCGTGGAGTATAAGTGAAGTGAAGTACATCGTATTCGATACTAAATAATCGAAGGGATATCGGAGACCATTCCAGAAAGCCAAATGAGGTGGTTTTGACACGTTCTTCGTCGTCCAACCCAAGAACCCAGTGTTGCTACCCTGGATCCTCTACATATTCGGAGGCGCCCTTATATATCTATATATCTGTCTATTTTCCCAGGACAGCGTCAGTGCGGTGTTAGTTTCTTCCGACTGAGAGTGGGTCACACCACACCCCGTTGGTTGATGAAACTGTTGCCGAGGAGGGATGGCTAATAGCTCATTGAACATTACGACTGAGA